TTCTGTAGCTGTGGCTACACAACAGCAAACTTTCCCCTGTCTGTTAAAATCCAGTCTGCCAGCAAAACGTGGCTGCACAGTGGAAAAGTCAAACTGATTGAAAAACAAGACAGCTAAACTCACCTTAGCGACTGCTGTAAACTTCCTTGAACGGCAGAGAGCAAAATTAGAAGCAAAGAAACTAAGACGGAGTTCACCAAAGTCTCTGCATGCATGTTTATATCCCCACCAGAAACCTGAAGTGAAGTGCCTTCAGGAATTTCCACTTTCCAAAACAGAGGGAGAACGGGCTGGCCAAATCCAGCTCGAATGCTTCAGAGGCCAACAGCGCTCTCCATATGAATGCCTTTGATTAGTTGTTACTCTCGGCGCAAAGGCAGGAGTAAGACATAAAGTGCCAAAAAAGAAAACTTTATCACCGTAATTCAAAACAGTTGTTCATAAAGATAAATGAGGATTTCACTTTACATATCTCTGCAGTGCTGTCCTTTTAAAGGGGGATTTGCTGTAACAATCATTATAGAAACAGAACATAAAATATAAATTGGAGACAATTGATTACAAAACAAATAATCTCTTTCAAGACTGTTTTAATGAGGTCTTTCATTATGATTTCAATTTTCTGTTTTATCTTTGTGGTAATATTTTTTTTCCAGCACAACAATAATGAGCAACATTAAATGAAGATTCTGGAGGAATATATTAATATGCTATATTCCCATATTTATATGATGCATGGCTGCAATCAATTTTACATGAATAAATAATTATTTTAAATAAAAATGAAATATGAAATAAAATACAGTTATACAGTAGCTGTAAACACCTACCAAGCAATATATGTCCCATCCTGACAAATTAACATACAGTATTGCATTAAGCACAATCTGAAGAATCAAATGACAAGCAAATTAAGCAAAATTATTTATCCCTTTTTATATCAATTTAACAAGGAACCTCAGAGCAAAGATAACCCAGGTTCGTTTCAATTTACAAAAGGACTGTAAAGATACATGAGCACTTCCTGTTTGCAGTCTTGGGCATCTAAATTTAGCACGTGTCTTGTACCTGTAACTAAATAATCACGCCTCTACTAAGCGCTCTATTTCGGTTAGTACACACACAGTTTGACAATTTAGGAAAGGTGCACATTTCTCAAGCGAATTTAAAAGAATTTAATAAAATACAAAACTAGTGTTTTCACGTATGGAAAATCCATAGGTAGGCTACACTCAAGAGGGAGCGTTTCAAAGCAACAGCTTAGCCATGTCCACACGTACATGGGTATTTTTAGAAGGAGTTTTTCCTTCTTCCGTTTTAAAAAAAATTTCCGTCCACATGAAAACGCAAACGCATGCTATGAATCACTGTCAAAAGCATGCCAAACCAACAGGTGGCGATATAATCTCAACCGTAAAGCCATGTTGGCCAATCAGAAGCCTGAAAAAGTCTCCAGTAGGCGGAGATAACAGCGCATGCTCTGACGTCACAAGTCAAAAACTGCGGTTTCGCTGTCTACACGATAACACTGCAACCGGAGTTTTTGAAAATCTTCACCCTGGCAGGCGTTTTAAAAAATTTTCGGTTTCAGTGGTCTGGTGCTGTGTTTGCGTGTGGACGAACGACCAAACCGCGTAGAAAAAGCTGCGATTTTAAAAATAACTGCGTTCGTGTGGACAGGGCCTCTTCAGTGAGCATAAACAAAGCTCACCGCCCCTACATGGCTCAGGCGATACTTCCACTCGATACTATTTTGGTTTAAAACAACTTTAAATGGTTGGTATACGGTTAAATAGGGGGTAAACTGGTTAAATAGTTTCAATCCATGTTTATAGCTGTGGCGGTCATATCGCATTACTTTGTCAGTCATCGCCATTTTTTCAGGACTTCTGTATTCCGTACACAAGCTCGACGACGATAATTTAGTGGATTCATTAACTTCCACATTTAAATGACCTTGCAGAATTTACCGCTGTGTATTCAACTGTAATTTCAGTATTAGTAAAGCCTTCGAATGCGGATCAAATTAGTAGCTTTTCAATATCATTTAAGCAATATTTGCGAGTAGCCTATTCGTGAAATAGTAAATATCAAACTTGTTTTGGCCAAAAGAAAATGTTATTCATTTATTAAAAATTTAATTCAATGATAAAATTCTAACATTTAAAACACGTGACGACCTGCCTCTGACATTTATGAAAATAAATATAGAGTTCAACTTGATGTCTGTCATTTAAGATTATGAGGAATGAGAATTAATATTATTTTTAATATTAATTGTTTTGCTGTTATATCATTATTGCATTTGTTTGTTTTTTAAATTGTAAAAAAAAATATATATATAAAAATTCAAACACTTTCTAAACCTAGTTTCTATAATATAGTTCTTGTTACAATTAGCCCCGGTCCGTATCTATATTATTAATAGCTATTATTTATTATTTCCGATGATAATTTAAGGATATGTTGATGTGTTAATTTATAATCAATAGGCTTATTAGTTGTTTCTGGTATTTTGTGTTCAAAGCTGATGTTTATTCAAGAATAGGGACTTAAAATTCAATTTCATATTTCAAAGTTTTTCATTTTAATGTCATTTTATCAACATTTAACATTCATTAAAATAATAAGAAACTTGTTTCTCTCAGTACGGATATGTTACACATGTCAAGGCCTGCGGGATCTCTCTCATCCTGCGCGCTGTGCTGCAGCGGGTCACGCGCGTCCGGAGCGCATCTGTCGCGCGGCTGCTGTGCCTGAAGCTCGAGCTCAATACAACGAGTCATGGACTGTACTCCGCATTAACGGCGATACTTCAACAACCGGTAAGTCTCAGAGCGTTTTTCCTGTCGTTTCGACACGTGAGTGTCAGATAAGTGGTTTATTTTGTTTTATTCGTCTTGTTTGCACGTCTACCAGGAAGTGTATGCAACCGACTGCGCAGTCAAAAGGCCTTTGTTCAAAAATACAGCGCTGTCATTGAGTGAAAACCTTTTAGGATACGCTTGTGACAAATTTAGACAGTAATGCACACAATGTCATAATCGACATGCATTTATATTTTATGTAATTCGTGTGTTTTCTCGTAAGAGGTTATTTAGCAAGAGCTATAGCGGCAGCAGCTCTGCTCTCATCTGTTGCCATGGTAACCGTGTAGCAGCAGGAGGAATCTCCCTGCATGATGCTCATGTATCATGGCTGATATCACTGTGTTCCGGTGTGCCAGGTAGCCTTAAGTATGCTGACATGATTTCGAGTCAGTTTGTTTTGCTTTTACATTTTTGAAGACAGGTGGCTTTTGGCAGTGGTCTGTAAAAATGGAGGTCTTGTGTTGAATAGCTGTGTATGTCAAACAAAAGCAGGGTGTTAAATTGCATAATTGTATGGTGTTATTTGGATCACCCTAAGATTAATGATACTGATTTTGCGGATCTGTAAATGTCTAGGTGGTTGTTGGTAAAAACACAGAACTGAGAGGCTTAACATGAAGAGAGACAGATAGAGAAAGATAAATACTTTATTGATTTAATTTTAGGGAGTCCCCGCCAGGAATTATGTAGCAACCAGTGTCATAAATAGTATTTGCCCACTGAGATTGATTTTCTTTTTTTTTTAAATACAAAAGTAGCTGTAAGCAATAACATATCTTAACGGAACACATGCTTTGCTAAAATAATATATTATAATTTTACAGTCTCTGTTTGATTATACCATGAGCTGTCACAACATTTTTTATAAAATAATTGTAGCAGGTTTTTAGAGTTGTTCGGAATGTTTAATTTCATAATTACACCCTTATTTTAGGACTTTTCTTTTTCTCCATGAAAGGACAGACACTCTGGATGGATGGTTGGTATGACTAGGTCTACAAAAAATTATATGAAAAGTATATCAAATGTTAATACAAACAACAGATAAATTCACTACAGCACAAATTTCCAATACATTTATTTTTATTTGTTTAATTACCTTTGCCCTCAGCTCTGGTTAATTTCTGACACTGGTAATGGGTTTACAGCCTAGCCTTTTGTTCAAAATCCATCATGAATGAAAAGTAATATTGTTCTGGTTATTAGTGCTGTACACATTAATAAAATGGATATAAATTTGATGCATTTTTGTGTTTGGCATAACTTTTGTAGTAAGAATTTACACATACACAGAGAATGTGTATATATTATTCATTCTATATGTCTATTTTCTGTAGTTCTTGGATCAAATGAAAATATGAAGTTGGGATTGGATATCCAATCTAATCAGTTGTGCTACAGTATACTGTATACTGCTTTATATTCTGTAGCAAATTTTAGAAACAAAAATGCCTTTGGGGGCAATAATTATCCTTCTCATAGCCTATACAATCTAATCTAAAACACAAACATGCTTATGTAACAAACGAGCCTAAAAACTCAGGACACCAGCCACTATTAAAGTGTTTAGTGATTGCATCCTGCCTTTAGGCAAATAGTCCTTTCTGTAAAAGTGAAACTAATTGTAGTCTTCTGCAACTTACTCCTACATTACTGCACTTACACCCTGTAATTTTGTTTTCAGTTGTCTTCAAACCTCTATCAACATATGCTAACTGTAGCAATTACTTTGCAAATTGCCTGTGACTACACAGAAGCTGTTCTGAGGAGACCACTATGTTCTTGACATAAATGTAAAAACTTTTAAGATTCAACGTTCCATTGTAGGCTTCAAATTGTAGCAAATGTTTTTACTGGCAGACAGCACACACTTTATATTTGAATCTTGCCATTGTTCCGAACTGCCCTTCGAATGACCTTGATGTAGTATAATTCATGTTCTTTGAAATGTTTACCAACTCCAGAAAAGCTCTTTGTCATGTTATATGATGTTTGACGCACGAAGGCCCGTCTGACCTTACTGGACATGACAGTTCGCTGGAGTGGATTTGTTCCTTTTGTGTTGATATCACATGTAAAGGTCAAGCTTTCAGCTGTTGTGTGATGCAGCATTCATTGACGGGACTCCTTTATAAATAAGAATAAAAGGCTAATGATATTCTTGCAGGATAGACCTCGACTCCACCGATAAGCCGTCTTTCGTATTGAATTCAGTTCCTCTCTATGCTGGGGATGAATGCACCAATGAGGAGCCTGACCGTGAGTAACCTGGTCCCACAATCCCATCCGTCCATGACTCCGCCACTCAGTGTTGCATATATGCCTTGTCTGATGTGGTGGACATTATTTGTCGATATAATTGTACCCGTTTGGTACACCATATGCCATGTTGACTAACTGTTGTGTGTTATTTACAGGGTATGCCTGATCGCATGTTATGTGCAGTGCTGGAGCAATTTCAGCTTTACTTTTCCCGTTGGTATGTGCGTTTTGTTTCAGTGAGTGTGCGATATCCATGTTTTATTATTGTCCTCGGTAAGAATGGCTCTAGTGCCAATATTATGCAGTCTCATTATCAGTCGCCTGTCGTTTGTGTTGCGCCGAAGATCCAGTGTGATCTTTGCAGAAGGTAAGTCGGTATTTCTATGTCAAGTCAACAGTCTGTGTTTTATGTACATCATATGCTTGATTGTGTTTAATGGTGGCTGTGCAACACTACAATACATACTGTTTGGTACCATTCAGAGCTGTGTCCTCATGTCGTACTGTACAGCCACAATGAACACATAGCTCAAATCTGTTTGCATGCTGTAGTTACTAAATGTTTCTGTGCTTAGGACTTTTGATATGACACTTCCTCTGAGGTGTTTTTTCATGCCACGTAATTATAGTAATTAGCATTTAGCCTGTTATAAGTTTTTGCTTTTTTCCCAAACTAAATCTCTTTTTATTTTCTAATATTTAATTTTGTAATGTAAGTGCTTAGAGCACATATAGAGGTAGCATCTAATAAAGAATAAATCCAATGGCTACAAACGGATTTTAAGCTTTGGCTGATGTGTGGTTTAAGTTAGCATTTGTGGTCGATGTGCTTTTGTCTTCCAGATCCACTCTCTCTATAGCACAGCGAGCCCAAGCATGCTGAAGAGGAAGCAGAGCTCGCGGGTCGAGGCCCAGCCTATGACCGACTTTGGGCCAGATGAAACACTGACAGACAGTGCAGACATACTTTGGATCAACAAACCAGTATGTGAACAATTCTCTGAAACCTTACCATGTGGCTCTTCTTCGCAATAATTTGTGACCCACACATACTCCCAAAAAGACATAATTAACAAGCTAAAACCTTGTCCGAACCAGGTGCAATTTAATAAAATAGGACACATTTATTCCATGTTATTATTATTATTATTATTATTATTATTATTATTTTGTCCAAACCAGTCATATATCCACCTTATTTTCAGTAAGCTGTTTCCTTTGTGTGAGACTTCTGATTCATTATTTGCTATAGGTAAATAACTAGAAGAATTAGAAAGTGCAGTAAACAGTAATACTATTTGCACTATAAACCAGTGTGTTTATGATTACACTATTACATTAAAATAATATGATAACAAATAACAGTTTGCATTATCAACCAGTATAACTGGCTGTTTTTGTATAGCTAAAATAACTGAAAGCAGCTGATACAAGAAGCACATTGAAGTTAAAAATAGCACCCAGTATCCAGCATTCAAGACATTTTCACAGCGTCTTGGTTTAGCCCCACCCACATTAAAATCTCATTGGTCCAAAATCCTATTCTTGTCTTGGTTTAGCCCCACCCACATTAAAATCTCATTGGTCCAAAATCCTATTCTTGTCTTGGTTTAGCCCCACCCACATTAAAATCTCATTGGTCCAAAATCCTCATAACTCATAAATGAGTAGTTCAGTTAAATTATTTCACTTACACTATTGTCATTCCAAAACTGTATTTATTTTTTCATTAAACACAAATGGTGTTTTGAATAATGTTCTCTCTTTTTCATTTAACAAAAGTATACACTGACCAGAAACTTTCAAGATACAAAAAGGACAAAAAACTATTATAAATGTAGCTCATCTTGTGCACTATATTCCAAGTTTTTTAAACCATACAATAGCTGTTTGTGAGAAACAGATTGACATTTGTGACCCTGGACCACAAAACCAGTCATAAGGGTCAGTTTTTGGCCGAGATACAACTATTTGAAAATCTGGAAGCTGATGGTGCAAAAAAAAAAAAAAATGTGGAGAAAATTGCCTTTAAAGTTGTCCAAATGAAGCAATGCATATTACTAATCAAAAATTAAGTTTTGATATATTTACAGGTGGAAATTTATAAAATATCTTTATGGAACATGATCTTAACTTAATATCCTAATGATTTTTTGGCATTAAAAAAAAATCGATAATTTTGACCCATACAATGTATTGTTGGCTATTGCTACAAATATACCCGTGCTACTTATGACTGGTTTTGTGCTCCAGGGTCACATTTATTCATTGAAAATCTTCTGTTTATTGAAAATATTCTACTGTATAGCAGAGATAAAAATTTCACTGAATATTTGTTTGGCATAAGAAAACTTATAGCACACAAATCACAACAGACACTACACTCTTAAAAAAAGATATGAAACCGGTCACTAGGGTGGTACCCTTTCAAAATGTAGTGAAATGTACCATAAATGTACAAATATGTACACATTTTAGGTATGAATATTCACCCTTTAGGGGGTAAATAAGATACAAAAGTGTACATTTTGCAAGGGTACCACCCCAGTGACAGCTTTTGTATCTTTATTTCTGAGAGTGTAGTGTACCCGCTCAGTTAGGAAAAGGTGTAAAACTGAAACCTTGAGGATGTTCCATTCTCTAAAACAGATTGTGTTCTTTGTCCTCAGTGGGTTCATTCTCTCCTGCGGGCCTGTGCCATAATCAGTGTCATTTCGGTGTGTATGAATACACCTAAGACCTTTGAGCACTACCCACCCCTGCAGTATGTCACTTTTGCCTTGGATACGCTGCTGATGTTCCTCTACACTGCAGAAATGATCGCCAAAATGCATATCAGGGGCATCATCAAGGTAACACACTCAATCAGCATTGTCACAATTTACAACAGAACAAGGAAGAGGAAAAAAGACTGTGTCCTTTGGCAGTGAATAAAGTAGGCAGGTGGCTAAATAACATATGGACAGTTTAATTGGCGAATCAAGGATAACAACCGCACAGAGCGACATTTGCTTCCTGAACCTGCAAAGAGATGCCTGGAAATTTCTTTATCTGTCTTCTAGCATGGAAAGCAGTAAGGTTTATGTAGAAGATAGAGTAATTAATTTGTTCCTTTAAACCTGAGATCGTGTGAGGACAGGTGATTAACCTTGCAGCAATTATATGCGTAGTTAACACATGCATTTTAATTTTATTGAAGGAGAGTAGCTCGCAGCATTATTATACTTGTGACCCTTAAAGGGGTCCTATTATGCTTTTTCACTTTTTTAATTTTAGTCAGTGTGTAGTGTGTATGTTTGGGCATAAAAAAGATCTAGAAAGTTACAAATCTCAAAGTCCACTCCAAAGGGAGATATTTCGTTTTTTAAAAATCCCTTTTCAAGAACTACAACGAACGGCTCGTTTGGACTACAGCAGTTCGCCAATCACAACGCACTGGGACAGCTAACCAATCACAACAAAAAAAATTTTCAGAAGGCGGACCTTCATCAAAGCCGGAACTAATCGAGCCGTTTGTGCCAGGCTGGGGAGAAAGGTATTTTAATAATGTAAATTATGTGAAAAATAATGCGTTTTTCGAACCACCAAGCATGAGAGCATGTTCTAGTACACCCCCAAAACAAAATCAATACTTTGTAAAAGAGCATAATAGGACCCCTTTAACTCAGTTAATTAGGCCAGTATATTTGTTTTGTATTTCCATCTTTTGAGTGCATGTTATGATCTGTGAAATTCAGTGACATGTTGTTTTCTTTATCTCTGTTAGCAGGTATATTTTTGACATTAGGTATATTCTGGACTCGGAGACATGATTAGTTGGTAATGCAGTAGTCTAAGCACTGAATTAATGTAAATAATTCATTATCTGTTGCGAATTAGGCAATCTGTTTTAATCTAAGTAACGCATTCATCAGCACAAACAATATTCCAAATTCAATCTCTGCCAGTTGCTGTTAATAAAGTCAGTCAGACCTTCACTTAGTTTTTAAGCTATCCATTTAATAAATCATGGTTTTTGGTCTACTAATTTAGTGTGAGATCTGAGCACGATAGCTAATTAGAGGCTCTGAAATCCCAGGGGATTTCTGGGCAGATGTCTTGGGAGAACAAGTGCTTCAGCCAATGAAGTATCTGTCTCTCTATCTAAGAAAAGCCACCGGTGCATGAAGGCAATCTGCACTCAAGCAAACAAACCTGAGCATGTCACACCTCTGATGTCATTTCCTGTGGACCAGCTGTGCGTGTGAATAGGTAGTTGACATGATAAACCCTGTGTTGTGACATGCAGCAATTCATTTAAAATAAATCTTGAATGACCTTAAATGTATATTTAGAGGATATATGGAATATTTTTACTTTAAAAAGTATAGATATATGTACTACCATTCAGCGGTTTGGGGTCGGTAAGATATTTGAATGTTTTGAGCTTTTTAGTGCTCACCCAAGGCTGCCTTTATTTGATCAGAAATACAGTAAAACAGTAATATTGCAGTTTTTCCTATTTTAATATATTTTTGTCACATGATCCTTCAGAAATCAATCTAATATGCTGATTGAAAACAGTTGTGCTGCTTAATAATTTTTCCTGGATTCTTTGATAAATAGAATGTTCAAAAGAAGTGAACTATTTGAAATAGTAATGAATTAGTCACATTATAAATTTGAAATGAATTAGTCACATTATAAATGTCTTTACTGATTTTATTTCTTTAACCAGACATTTAAAATCATAACAGGACTATTTAAAATTAATTTTTGAATGCTTAAAAGAAATGCTTAAGAGACCAGTAACATGAATGAGAATATGGGTATGTTATGCATCCACTACCTGAATATAAAGGACTCCTAGCTCCTGTTTTTGGTTTGTCATTATTATTTACTGTATTCTTTGTGTGCTTTACCATTAGAGACATAGTTTGATAGTTCTCATTACATACCTAAACCATGTTTAGGTCTTCTAGTGCACACTTGTTTGTCCATGTCTGGCAGGATAAATACTCTGAAGTGCTCACACTTCTGTTTGCTGAATTTCTCTGGCTCTGTTGTTTACAGCTGCCACAATCTTTCATTAAACCGGCGGACCAGCTGCCACTCACCTGTGGACTTTCATTTACAGCCTGTGTCTTATCACCTGCCTCTGTTTCCAGGGAGAGAACTCCTATGTTAAAGACCGCTGGTGCGTGTTTGATGGCTTTATGGTGGTCTTCCTCTGGGTCTCTCTTGTGCTTCAGGTAAGGAAATTATCTTCAGTGTTATTTCCCAAGTAAATTGTTTCTTTCAAATTAAAAAGAACTGAGCTCCATAGGGAACTCCACTCATCCACTTGTTCCTCTGAATGGTCTCAAGGTGTTTGAAATAGCAGAGATTGTGGACCAAATGTCACCCTGGGGAATGTTACGCATACCGAGGGCCCTCATTATGATCCGAGCCTTCCGAATCTACTTCCGATTTGAACTGCCGCGTTCCCGCATAACCAACATTCTCAAGTAAGAGCCCCACGAGCCCAAATAATGTGAGAAATGGCAGCTTGTTTCCATATCAGCCACTTAAAATTCCCTTCCTCTCAGGCGGTCGGGGGAGCAGATTTGGAGTGTGTCCATATTTTTGCTCTTCTTCCTGCTCCTGTATGGAATCCTGGGGGTTCAGATGTTTGGAACCTTCAATCATCACTGCGTCACCAATGAAACACAGAAAGGGTAAGCAAGTTTCAGCACTATTTTCTTTAAACTATGGAACCCTTTTTTTACAACAGGATATTAAAAAGGTTAAAAAAAATTAATATTTAATCATTAAAAAGGCAATAAAAAAAAAAGTAAAATTATATAATATAATATAAAAATTATTTTTAAAAAATGTAAAAAATTTAAAAGGTAATTGTGACTTGATATCTCATAATTCGGACTTTTTTTCTCATGAGTTTACATCTCACAGTTCTGTTTTTTGTTTCCACCATGAAATAAAAAATAAAAAGGTACTTACAACTTTTTTTATCTAAGAATTCTGACTTTTGTCTGCATTTATATCTCGCAATATCTGAGATATAAACTCATAATTCTAAGAAAAATAGCCTGAATTGTGAGATAAAAAAAATCATTTTATAATTACTTTTTGCTATTTTTTATCCCGTGGCAGAAATAAGCTTCCATATTAAATTCAATAAAATCAACTGTCTTAGATTTAACTTAATAGCCCAAGAAGTCAAGAACTGCTCTTTGTGTGGGGAGTTTTATCACACTCCTTTTGGTTTATTATCCCTGGGATGAATCGGGATTTAACATTATGCTGCAATTTTTCCTGGCATCAGCGCGATATAAGAAGTATGCGTCTGTTGCTGTACACCTCCCACACACATCTGTTCTTTGGAATATAAATCCCATCAACAGCTGTAAATGGTATTAATAACAGATCATCATTTTCATTGTGCGATGTCACGGCCTCATAAACACTAAACAGTAAGAACAGCCACATTATATGATACGTTTGTCTGAATTTCTCATTTCACATGGAGGTGCTTGATAAGCCAACAGAAATTAATGTCTAAAAATGAACAGTAAATCTTGCTAGAACACTCGCATGCATCCCAACTTAAGGGCGTGACGAAAGCAGGGTTGAGCGCAGTCTTAATGTAGTGTGTGTATGGAGCTGAGGAGGTGGTTCTCTTTTAAAACCCAGGCCTATTTAATATTCCTTTGCAAATGAGTGGCATGTCAGAGCCGGCTCTAAAACAAAGAGCCTAAACCATAAGCAACAGAGGAGTGTGCTGAGCACTAATCACAATAATTAACGTTTCCTGTGTTGCCTGGGCGTCGTGCACATGCTCGCCTCTTTTCAGCAGCCTGGCCTCAATCCGTCTATGTGCATGAGAGAAAAGAGCTCCTATACTGCAAGATATCTCACCCTGTAGTGGCATTCAACATATTATTATTCAAAACGGGTTAGGCACAGGTTAAAAATATTTACAATATTGAATATGTGTGTACGGGCAGGATTTTCATGCATCACTCAAGTGGAAGTGTATTTCAGAAAAACTCATTGTTGATTATCTTGCAGAACTACAGTATGTGTCCTTGGCACAGAGTAGCAGGGATTTGAATCACACAGGGATTCAATGGAATAAATGTGCAAGGGAGTTTACCAGACTCTTGTCTGTTGGGGATACATTTTTAGATTTGATGACATGACGTTTTATTTTTCAGGTGCTTAAATATGGATGAGAACAGGCCTCATGACCTTGCCAATCATAAACTGTCACCTTGTTCAGAAAATGTCCCACAAATTTCTCTCAATTACAGACATAGGCTACAGCATGTTATGACAGGTGATCAATATGATACAATCTCTTTTTCTGTCTCTATGCCATTTAAGACACATTATTTACTAATAACACTTTTTTTTTTTAAATCATAAAAAATATTAATCAAAAGGCATGTCCATTTTCAAATGAAATGAATAATTTATGGTGCTATTCACAGGGATGATCTCTTCGGCGGATTATTTTTCACTGTATAATCAGAGCTATTTTAATTCGCCGTTGTGTCTCTGATTGGCCTTTGTGATACTGCAATCAATGATCCCCACTCATTTCGGAGTCCTTAATAAACAATTTGAAAGTATGTCTGGCGAGCCAATTTGAACGCATTAATTTTCATTAGAGACATCAAGTGCCTCCTGAAGTAACACCTGCAGTGGTGGAAAGAGTACTGAAAAAATATACTCAAGTAAAAATACCATTACCTTCCAAAAAATGTAGTGTGAGTAGAGTAAAAGTACTTGTCCAAAAAACTACTTGAGTAAGAGTAAAAGAGTAGCCTATTTAAAAGTACTCATGAGTATTGAGTAGTGAGCGGGCCTGCAAGAACTCCAGCACTGTACCAATCGGGCAGTTAACTGGGTCAAGCAGGCGGTCTCCGCACCATGAAGTGAAGAGCCTCCACTTCAGGGCGTACAGTTTCCTCGTTGAGGCAGCTCTAGATTGGAGGATGGTCTCAACAACCTCAGTTGAGCGACCAGATGCTATGAGTTGTGCCCCCTCAGGGGCCACACCCACAGCTTCCACAACTCTGGGCGGGGGTGAAAGATCATACCCTCCGCCTGTGAGAGGAGATCTCTCCTGACGGGAATCTCCCATGGAGTGCCGTCGAGGAGAGAAATCAGGTCCGAGAACCATACTCGACCCGGCCAGAACGGGGCTACTAGCAATAGACAGACCCCGTCCCGACGCACTCTCTCTAAAACTCCCGGGAGCAGAGCGATCGGGGGAAAGGCGTACAGACGAAGCCTCGGCCAAGTCTGTACCATAGCATCCAGCCCCAGTGGAGCTGGATGAGTCAGAGAGAACCAGAGGGGACATTGCGATGTCGTCTGAGTCGCAAACAAGTCCACCTGAGCCTGGCCAAAAACTCTCCATATCTGCTTCACCACCTCGGGATGAAGCATCCATTCCCCGGGCCTCGGCCCCTGCCTCGACAGGATGTCTGCTCCCATATTGAGATGCCCAGGAATATGAACTGCCCTCAGCGAGAGGAGCTTGCCGAACAAAAAGTGTTGAACTTGAAAATTGTTTATGCGCGAGTTTACTTGCTAAATGAAGGCGGATAGTATAAAATGGATATAAAAAAAAAACGTTTTCACAGCGCGCATCACATGCTCAAACTGATCAAAAGTCAACAAGTTCGACAAGCAACAAGGACTTATCCAAGTGACTGCTGCAGAACGCACGCGAGAGAGAGACGAGGCAGCGCAGATCGCGCGTCTCATAAGTGAGTGGGAATTTACCGAACGTGGCACTTGCGGGAAAAAGTACAATTACTGATTGAAACTACTTAATTACTGTAACGTGAGTATTTGTAATTCGTTACTTCACACCCCTGAACACCTGTGGCCCAAACTAAAGCCGCCTGTGTGTGTTAATAGAATAGGTATATTACCATCTTACCAGAAATACCATGTAAGGTTCCATTAATGTCATCAGAAAAATACTGTTGTCATTTCTATTTAGAATGCTAAATACTGTTCTGTTTATATACTGTTCAGTTACCAAAGAGCAGATATAACCTAAGCAACATATAAAAAAGAAAATCTGAAAATCTGAGAGCATGAAAGTAGCAGGAAAGAATACAATTTAATCCCTTGTAGCTTCAAATGTTATCTGTCACTATAGTAACAAACATTAATCTCAAGAACAGGACTGCATTTAGTAAAAAAATGAATTTTTCTCTTGTTTTCCAGTCAAATATCTGAACACCCTTAAAACATTAACATTTATTAAAGATCATTTGAGAGCTTAAATTGCATAAGACGTTAAGACTTGTTTTCAGACAATATATATTGTTATATTATTATATTAAATATATTATTTTTGTTATTATTTTTGTACCCTTTGGCAAATAGTATTTAATGAGTTTTATGTTTAAAACAAGAAACAAATATACCAATAAAGATAATTTAATTGTATATATTCTCTCTGAATATAAGTCTTCACAAGTAAATTTTTTAACAAAATCTTGTTTTATTAAAATAGACACAACTATAGTGTGTGTGTGTGTGTGTGTGTGTGAACAAGAACAGAAAAACAGATTTAAACAAAATTGTGTTTCTGTTCTAAACTTCATTTCTTTTAATTGTCTAAAATGTGCAATCTACTGCATTAAATTATGTAGAGCAAATGTGAACTCAAAAATACTTTTTGCTGTTAACAAACTGGATTCCCAGCATGCTTTGCATTTTGCATGGGACTTAATGTGAAGAGTAAAAATGTCATTATTTTATGTGTTTTAGAGCAAGACAAGAAAAGGGGGAGACTTGATATTGTTTAATGTTCTGGGTGTATTGATAAAAGTATTCATTCAAGTAATTGATATTATATATAATATATAGTATTATATGTAATACTTTTTAAATATGTATTTAATAATTTATTTATATAAACTCCTGTGTCCTGTACAGGGCAATTAGAATCACACGTGTTAGTAAATACGGTTGTAAGTCCTAAATGCTGACTGTGTAAATGTTGCCAGAGAGGAGCAGGATAACATTGCTAGTCTGTGAGAAAACACCAGATGGCCTGTTACAATATAATGGTTAATTTGATCAGATTTAACATTTGATGATGATTCTTTGAAAACACACTCTGGTCTTTTTCCAGTAATGTGACATGGAACAGCCTGGCGATCCCTGATACACACTGCTCTCCGAACGGGGAGGGTTATCAGTGTCCGACGGGGTTTAAGTGTGTGGATCTGGAAGACTTGGGACTCAGCAGACAGGAACTTGGATACAGTGGCTTCAATGAGCTTGGTGAGTCATTGTGATGCCATTGAAGTCATTGTCATTGTCATTGGTGAGTGACATTTGTCCATCTGCAATGATAAAATGATGTTTGTAATTTTGTTTATTTTCTGTGAATTTTTATTATTCGTTTTTCTTTATCTCTCTCTAGTTTGCACCTGGAAATTTCTTCTGCTGTTGCTAAAAATCTAATATTATGAATATAAATATGAATTATGAATATCATTGAATTTCTTCCTTAAAGCCAGATTGGACACCCCTGGCATACACTAAAAGCATTTTCCCTGGCCTATTTATTAGGAAATTTGAATTAGCTTGGTTTAGTTTTAGTGGTCTGTGGAAAATTATACCATCTCTGCCCATTATTTACAGTGATTAAGAGCAATTATTCCCTTTTTTGACTAAGTGTGATTAATTGTAGCATTGTTGGCTGAAGCATTTTCAGTTGATCTATGCATAGTGTGCAAGTAAACATAAACAGATAAATGCCCTCTGTCGCTGCATTTAGGAAATGTAATATTTTCAGCAAAGCTTATATTTCAAAGCATTGTGAAGGCAGCTTCACAAATAGACCAGTTTATTTAAGCACCTTGATCTGTACGAAGCAGCATGTCACATTTTTATCTCTCCCATTTGAGATAAATCCACTAGAAAGGTACACAGAGCAGTGCTACTAATCTCCAAATAGCCATGAAGGGAGGCTTTTCCCTAAAAAAACAGTTGTGGCTTTGAACCGTTGACTTACAGAATACAGAGATCTGCGAAAGGGCCCTTCTTCGTCCTCTTTATAGAGTTCAGTACCCAGATAAGTCATGTGTAAGTCAACCAGAACCGCTCCTGCATCAGTGATCTTCAGCCCAACAGTGTTCAGTGTCGTCCATTCATCCGTGTTCACAGTGCGGTTTGCAGCCTCAACAACAATGCCTTTTTTGGGGCTTCCAAGATTCATGGATGCAGAAACATAAAGTATGATTGGGAAAAAGTCCAATGTCAGGGTTAATATATTTTATCTTTCTGCTAATCCAATTGGACTGCCAATATTTTCTCTGACCCCACCACAAAATTAAGTCCCATGTTTGTTTTTTAATTTAAATTTGTTAATTATTTAAATGCATATATTTTATTTACATTAAATCTCTAATTTTTGTTGGTTTTATTCAATTAAATTAATTTAAAACAGTATTAACTGAGTTGTAGGAATATAGTCAAATATTTTGGAATATCAATGTTCAAGGATTGCTGAGCTATTGTTTTTTTTCTTACAAAAATGTAAGTCTTAGTATTCTCTCTTAGGCCATTCAGGATGAAATGGGAATAGAGTTTCTTTTTCCCTTTTGCTAGGCATCTCTGGACACAGTGATTTATCCCTAAGTGATTTTTAATGGGAGTCCTTAGTTTGCCAAGTGCATTTCCCTCTAATTCATCCAGGGAAGGACTCTGTTACTGTTTATACTGAAGTATGTGCTTTATCTAATGTGAATTACATATCGATTGAACACAGTTTTTTTAGACAAAGCCAAGTGAATAGTTTACAGTACTTCATTAATATAGGTCCCTGTAAAGGATATGTTGTATGGTTGGTGAAGCTAACCTTTACAGGGCTCTGCCAGTGTCCTTGGCCCATTCTGCCCCTGGACCTGGTAGGAAATGGCAGGAAGCAGAACTGAGTGGCATGCTTCCTGCTGGCCTTTGGCAGCCATATCGCAGCACGGCATCATGGGTCACCGTGAGTGCAGAGATAACATCATTGAGGGCTTGGAACTAGAGAGCATCTCAAACACTGTGTGTATGAAATAATGGTGTAAATGCTGTGTAAGAAACAGTGTTTTAAACTAGTATCTATTAATATTTTTTATTAAATTTTAGTTGCACAGTATATTTATATAATGTATATTTAAATTTTGGTTTTAGTAACTTTATTATGTGATAGTGCCATAATGATGGTCATCCCTATTCATTTTTTACTGTATGGAAAAGATAATAAAATACTGAGCTAAACATTAGCTCAGTATTTTAACTCTTTTGTGTAACACAGGGCTTGGAACAGTGTGAGGATGGCTAAATAACAGAATTAATACTGTAAATAACAACAGACTATTAATTTAAGTTCCTTGAGGATTTGTCCTCGTTCCTCTCATCTTTTATGAAGAAATCACACGTGTATGATTAAAAAGACATAATACAACATAGCCATGAAAGCAATCTGTCCTTGATTGTGTAGTTCTTCATTTAGTCTAGTTCCTTTGATACTCAGATACTTTTACACTCCAGCACAACATGGAATCAAAGAGTACTTCAAAAGTGAGGATAACCATCTCATTCATCTGTTTGGAGAGAGAAGCAAATAGCTGGGTAATAGGAAGCACCTGACAAGGTCCACTAATGCCAAGACTGTGTTTATGTCTGAATTTTTGTATCTCAGTGCCCAGTCAGACCACTCTGGGGGCACAAGAACATCTCAGACATGGGCTTCTCCCCCTCCTCTGTCTTATTGCGTCCCCGTCGTGACCCTTCTTGTCGTCTCCTCTTGCAGGCACCAGTATATTCACTGTATATGAGGCAGCGTCTCAGGAGGGATGGGTCTTCATCATGTATCGAGCCATCGATAGCTTCCCATGCTGGCGCTCATATTTCTACTTCATCACGCTCATCTTCTTCCTCACCTGGCTGGTCAAGGTGGAAAAATCCTTTTCTTCTCACACCAGCGATCTGCAAAAACAAAGTCATAATCTGCACATGGGCCCTTCTTCATTTCTAGACATAGAAAAGTGAGGGTTATTCTAGGAGTCTAATATATTGTGTTATATTATACTTTGGGTGTTAAATTTTTTTAATGCAGTGCAGTTATTGTGTGCATACATGACCAGTGAGAAGTTTGGGGTCAGTAAGCTTAATAAAGGTTTTTGAAATACGTAACATTGGCTCACCAAAGATGCATTTATTTGATCAAAAATGCAGTAAAACAGAAATAGTATTACATTTTAAAATAATTGTTTTTATATTATTTTAATATATTTTAAAATATTTATTTCTGTGATGGCAGAGCTGAATTTTCAGAAGTCATTAGTCTTCAGAGTCACTTGATCCTTCAGAAATCATTATAATATGCATTATAATAACATTTCTTCTTATTATTATTATTATTTAGAACAGTTGTGATGCTTTTTTGTGATAGGTTTCTTTTTTTCAAGATTCTTTGATGTATAGAAAGTTTGTACATTTTATTTGTTTTAAATGTCTTTGCTATGACTTTTTATCAATATAATCATCCATAATCATCCTTGCTCAGTACAGTAGGTATTAATTAATTAATAAGTATTAATTACTTAAAAAAACTGACTTTTGAAATGTAGTGTGGACCTCAGTGGAAAAAAAACAATTATGACTTGACCCCATTTAGTTCACATAGTTAAGGAATGTTCAGAGTTCAATGCAAGTTAAGCTCTGCTGAAAGGAAATCAGTTTGTAACAAACAGAATTAAACCTCATTAAATGTTGAAGATGACAGTGTTACATATGATATATTATATCAATTTTATCATTAACACAGATCTGTTTTCATACTTTTCACTTATATGCCAGACAACAAGAACAAGCATTCAATAAAATCATAATTTCTGGGCATTTATTAACTTTGTGTCATTTCTTTTGCTTGTGTTCCCAGAATGTGTTCATCGCTGTGATTATAGAAACGTTTGCTGAGATCAGAGTGCAGTTCCAGCAGATGTGGGGATCCCGGAGCAGCACCACGTCAACAGCTACTACACAGGTAAACCAAACACACTTGCGCACATGTGCACAAAAAGCAGCCTTTGGTGTATGACTCATTTCCCATATTTGTTAATCTCTTTGATCAATATGTATGGGCAGATGTAATTAAACCAACTAAAGCAAAAATATCAAAACCTTCAATATCAGCATTTATGATTATTAATCACAGACCAACATCTGAAGGAATTCTTCCCATAATTCTCTGGAGGCTTTGAGTCTGGCTTCCCTGGCCTTCAGCAGGCAGGATACACCCGGCAGCAAGCTGTTTTTTTTTAAAATAAATTTGGCTGCTTGTCAGGTGGGGGCCCCGAACGGCACAGAGAGATCTGATTGGGCGGCTGGCAAACTCAGGGGTGAGTCATAGAGGAACGTTGCTGAAAGTGCAACAGACCGAAAGAGAGGAAAAGACAGAGTGTGTATGTGTGTGTGTTTGCAGTTCTGTCATTCAGCCTAAATTTGATGTGACTGATCAACTGAAAGAATAGAAAGAATCAATTAACCCTAAATGCACTTGCTTTCCTGCCTGCAATCCTCTCCTGTGGGGAAACCTGTCCTGTTGATTTTATACAACCATCGCCTACCTAATGTTTGGTGAGAAATTCACACTAACTAAGCTAATGGTGCAAATGCACAGAAAATCTGGAGCGGGGGCGTGGTGTGAAAAGTTGTGTGTGTAATTGTGTGAACTGAGGCATAGTGTCTCCCTGGCTGCGCCAGTCACAGTGCCAGAGCCAGTCCTGGAGCAGAGCCTTGGAGGTTGGCATGAGTGGAGCTGGCAACACTTTTGGCAGCACAGGAGTGACCTGACCACCCTTATTCAAGTCTTATGGCTGTAGAAGTGCCCTCTGGGAAAAAGAACGGCTATAGCACACAACATTTATTCCAGCACTGCTTTAATGGGTTAAATCTCGTGAAGAAATATCTGATGCATGTGATCTCAAAATAAAACCAACAAAAACAAATCATGAAGAAAACGAAAGGATCTCTGAATTTGTCATTACTGTAATCCAAAATTAATCTTATTATTTTTACTAGAATAAAGTAATGACAATCAACCAGTTTGAAGTTTTTTAATTAATATACAGTAAATAATCCTAGGATATATAAATATTATATAATGAAATCTATAATTTCATATGCATGTGTATTTTATGTTTTTATTTTATTTCTATTATATTATTTAAAAAAAACTTTTATATACCATTCAAAAGTTTGTATATTTAAATCGGCAAGATTTTTTGATGTTTTGTGAAAGATGCTTACCAAGGCTACATTTATTTATTTGATCAAAAATACAGTAAAACAATATTGTGAACAATGTTTGCATATTTTTGTGTTTGTTTTCTATTTTAATACATTTTAAAATGACAATTATTTCTGTGATGGCAAAATTTTCAGCAGTCATTACTCCAGTCTTCAGTTTCCCAGGTTCCATCAGAAATGACTCCAATATGCTGTTTTGGTGCTAAAGTATATATATATATATATATATATATATACACAATATATATTACAGAGCGAAGGATAC